CTTCAATAAGAAAGGAATCAGTGTACTAAAATATATTTACATATAAAAATGAATTGAAATTATAATTACAATTAGTAAGCTTGTAATGTGCACATATTAACATAATAAAACTGCTAAGCTAAAAGAATATAAAAACAATTTATTAAAACCTACATGTAGGTACATCATTTTTCCAAGTAGCTTAGTTCTTGTGTTTAGCTATGGTGGATGTATAATGTTTAACTACAGAAGTATAATGTGAATTGAATAACAACAATTATATAAAAGGAAGAATGAACAAGGTTAAATCAAGAAATGTCAATATTCATGAATTGAACTCACCTCAGGACAAATAAATCCCCTTTCAAAAATTAGTATGGATAATCCTGCAGCTTTAGGAGCCTTTGTTTGGTGTCTGATTTGCCAACACTTAACCTGCAACAGTGACGTTTTAATAACATTTTTAGAATATTGGTTTATTTAGTTTTTATTTTCTTATGATAAATGCCTTTAATTTCTTCCTCCCTCTCCCATTAAGTCATCCTTCTGGCATTTTTTGGTCTTAATTGCGCAAAAAGAAAGTCTAAATAAACATACTGTAATTTATGTACTTATAATCTTTTTTAACTTGAATAATAAGAAGGAATGTTACAGAATCCATTCAAATCGTTTCAACCCATTAAGTTGATTGAAAAAATGAAATAAAATAAAAACTACACAATTATTAACCTAAAAAATATCATTACAAGAACCTTACATATCGATCCTAAATTGATACAAATATGTAGGTTAGTCGACACTAAACCGATACAAATGCGATTGTCACCTTTTTTTTGAGAAAAAAATATCAATAAATTTTTATTGAATCACACTATCTGCTCTAAAAAAAAGGATTGATTATCAACATGAGCTTAGTATAGTGTCTTCCTAATTATGAATATTCTTTTAGCATGTGACTACAACAGAAAGGTTGGTCCTTTTGTCCTATTAAGATAATTTGATCTTAGTAAGATTGTCATCATGTCACAAAACTATTTATTTACATGCAGGGTTGATAGAGTACACAGTACACAGTGGATATGGGCAAAAGAGAAGTAATTGTAAAGGGAGATTTTATAGCAAATTGCAATTTCCAGAAAGAAACGTATATAAGAAACACATGTAGAGTGTGAATGATAAACCCAAGTCCCTGTCTACATGTTTAACTCACTCTCACTAATATTAATCTAACATGAGTCATATCCTAGCTACAAAAATTAAATTATAACCAAAACCATTCAAATTTGTGTTACTTAATATTGATACGAATTAATTCATTTATTTTATTCTCGTCGCTTAACCGGGTTTTTGGAGAGAAAATGCTTCAACTTATACACAATAACCAATCGAAAATTTAAAACAACTTCAACAAGGATTTCGTAGTCTACTGCAATTTATTTTATGTATCCCAAATTTTCAATTGGCAGTGTCTAACAAGCACTAAACTTGCTCGCATTTTCCATATGAAATTTCTTAGACGTGTTACAGAATTGGATTAAAAAGAGGAAAATCAGAGAGCATTCAAGCAGTAAAATTTTGGCTAACTTGATTGTTCTGAGATTAAAACTATTGAAACTAGTGCTTAGGCGTAAGTCTTAGTTACTGAAAGTAGAAAATAAGAACTGCTCACGATAGACTGCTACAGAGAACAAAGACAGTAAAAATTATAAAATTGACCCATGCTAAGTCACATTCATAAATAATAGGTGATCCAATGACTCCAACAAAAGCCTACATCACATGAAGCTAAAATCACAAGTAGCAATCGAAGCACATCATGTTCAGCCAACACTCTGTCACTGAAATTCAAACATTAATGAATCTAAAACTAGATAAACATCATTAATAAGTACATTTCAATTATGACTTCATACTGAATGTTATCAAACAAGAACAACAATAAATTCCCCCCTGCAACCCTCAATCAATTCCACACATACAAAACTAGATCACACTCTCATTCCATTCATTGGCTAAGCTACTTGATCAAGAGTTTCATTATTGACATTGAACACCAAGCATCTCAAATCACGAAAAACACACAAACTACAGAATCATTCCAATTCATTTATCTAAGCGCATTGATCAAATTGTCACCATAAATAAAGAAATTCATGAGTTGGAGAAAATCAAAACAATAAAAAATTAAAAACCATAACCAAGCAAAAGAAGGTACAAAACCTGCAACGAATTGGGGTGCAACAGGCAGTGGTGGTTCGCGGTGGTTGGTTGGGGCTCACAATAGCCACTACTGGGGACGTGTTGCCTGCTGGTGATGGCTGGAGGTGGCTATTGTGCGCGGATCTAGGGTTAAGGATGAGTGGAAGAGCAGAAATCAATGGGATCGAGAAAGGAATGAGAGTGGTGTTGGATGGTGGTTCGAAGGTGCGCGGTGGTGAAGGACCGGTGAGGTAATGACCATTTTCAATGAAGGGGTCGCAAATCCAATTAGGGCACAACTGGTAATGGTGGTTTGCGGTGGTTGGTTGGGGCTCACAATAGCCACTACTGGGGACGTGTTGGCTGCAAGTGATGGCTGGAGGTGGCTGTGGCGCGCGGATCTAGGGTTGAGGATGAGTGGGAGAGGAGAAGTGAATGGGATCAAGAAAGGAATGTGAGTGTTGTTGGATGGTGGTTCGAAGGTGTGCGGTGGTTGGCGTGATGGCGGAGGACCGGTGAGGTAATGACCGGTTCCAATGACAGGGTCACAAATCAAATTGGGACGCAATTGGTAGTGATGGTTCGCGGGGTTGGTTAGGGCTCACAATAGCCACTAGTGGAGACGTGTTGGTCTGCGGTGATGGTTGGAAGTGGTTGTCTTGCTGCAGATCTAGAGTTGAGGATGAGTGGGAGAGGAGAAGCGAATGAGATGTAGAAAGGGATGGGAGTGGTGCTGGTCGTGCGAGCTTAAGGGTGATGTAATTAATTATTAATTTACCGACGGCTAACTATCCGTCGGTAACTAATTGTTAATTTACCGACAGATATATCCGTCGGTAATTAATTCTTCATTTACCAACGGATATATTCGTCGGTAAGACCAAATTCCACAAATTCATTATATCCGTCGGTAATATCCGTCGGTAATCATTAATTTTCCGATGACTGCATATCCGCCGGTAAATATCCGTCGATAATAAATGATTTTCTTGTAGTGAACTAACTACTATCTTGATGCAAATGAAAAAGGGAAATCAATAGATCAAAAAAATATAAAGGGCTTATTGGGTCTTTATTATACCTTACGACAAGCAGACCTGACATTATGTTTACTGTTTGTATGTGTGTCAGGTTTCAGTTTGCGCCAAAAGAATCCCATTTTACTACTAAAAAGAGATTCTCAAATATCTCAAAGGAACATTGAATGTTGGGTTGTGGTATCCTGGTGAGTCTAAACTAAATCTAATTGGTTATTCTGACTCAGACTTTGCAGGGTGTAAACTTGATAGAAAAAGCACTAATGGCATCTATCATCTCCTTGGAAGTAGTCTAATTTCGTGGCATAGATAAAAGCAATCATGTATTGCACTTTCTATAGCTGAGGCCGAGTACATTGCTGCTAGAAGTTGTTGTACTCAATCTTTATGGCTCAAACAACATCTTGAAGACTACGGTTTAATTCTTAGTAAAATTCCTCTTATATTGGATAATACTAGTGTCATCATATTAACAAATAATCCAATTCAGCATTCTAGAACAAAACATATTGAGATTAGACATCATTTCATCTGAGATCATGTTTCAAAAGGTGATTGTGAATTTTTTTCATAGAATCTAAAAAAAAATTAGCAGACATATTCACAAAACCTCTTGTTCGAGATTGCTTTTATAAAATCAGAACTGAATTAGGAATTTTAGATGCAGCAAACATTACATAATTCACATATTCTGATAATTTTAATTGATATAAATTGTTTTAATCGATTAAATTCATTTTAAATACATTATCTGTACTGTTTTAATTGATTATTTTACGAATTAATTGATTAAAAACTCTTAATATTTGTATTGCACTTTTGTCATGTATATTTTAATCGATTAAACGTAATTTACATCAATTTATTTCCCTAATTGGTTTAACCTCTTTGTTATTGTGCAGATATTTGTTTCAAACCTCCTCTTTCCCTATTTTTGATGAAGTCAGAGGGGGAGAAATTACTATTGAATACTCACTAATAATTTTTATATCCAAGCGATTGATTTATTTTGCAGATCAAAATCTTTTCAAAAATATTCACAAGAGGTGTTTGTCGTCATCAAATAGGGAGAGACTGAAAGTGATGAAGATCTTATTGAACCTTATGACACTACAAGAAAAACACTAAATAGTGACCGAAAATTCGGTCACTAAATGATCAAAATCGGTCACTAACTAAAATAATGACCAAAATAGTGACCAACTGGAATCGGTCACTATTTCCTTGGTCACTGATTTTAGTGACCGATTCAATGACCGAATCAGTAACCAATTTTATAACCAAATATATGACCGAATCAGTCACTATATCGATCACTAATTTTATTTTATTTTATTTTTAAAATAATAATAAACCTGATTAAGGAATATAAAATACATTATATATTTTATCAAAAATATCAAAATTACACTAGGAATGTATCCGTGCATCATAACTTATAGGCTTATAGCATAAAATTTGGGAAACTAGAAGAAGCCAACATTTGTTAAGACATCCAAGATAGAGTTTTGGTGACAAAAATGACTGAATACTTAATTACCACAACAACCGAAAAAAAAAATAGTGGAGAAAATTTTCATCTTATTTATATAGTAGTCCACAAAGCACCCATAGATATAGGAGCAAGTCATGTTCTCCACATTTTGTCGGACTTGTTAAAAACAAATAAATGATATACACGTTCAGACTTGAGATACAAAAAGAAATATTACTTTATTATGTTCCATTATAAAAATCAAAACATGGCCTTAATCACTACCAAGACATTTAAGTAGCTAGAGGCAGTTAATGAATGAAACAGAGAGCATGAACCCATTGACCATCAGAAAACTTCCTAAAAGCACCAGTAGTAGCACCATAGAGAGCACATTCTGCTCCAATATTAGGCTTCTCCCAGAAATTGATAGCAGATGCTCCAGAGTTTCTAGATGACAAATCTTCACATATAACATCCTCTATGGGAAGTCCATCGCAAATCTGCAACAATTTCTTGTTGATGAATGGATGAATATAACTAGAAACTGCACCCTTTTTGCATTTCAAATAAATTTAAATTGGCTTTAAAGAAGAAAAGCAGAACACAGAAACTCCACCCTTTCACATTCTTGGAAATAGATAGATCAAGAAAGAGGAAAACAAAACACAAGAAAAGTAGGCAACACCACTTTTCTAGATAAGCATCACTCTGTACATACAAAATGAATTACTAAAAGCAGATATTGATATGATCATATATAAATAAAACTGATGCAATGGAGGAGAGTAAAATCTATATTAAAATCATGGGACGTGACTTCCAGAAAACCATTTTAAAATTCAAAATGTGACCATTGACAGAAACTGGATCAGAATAAAAAGAAATGGGAACAAAAACTGGATGAATAAACTGGACCCTCCACATTAATCTGGATTCCTATCAAATTACAAGATAAACCTCCCTCTCACAACACCTGTTTTTATGTCCAAGCAGCATACTTTAAATCTAATTATCCCACAACCCCAAATCTCAAAATTCCTACTTATTCTACCGGTGATGGGTCTACCAATCACCCACATATCATATCCGCAGGACGATCTATACTCAAGGTCTTTTGGGTTTGTGGGGCATGGCTTCATTGACTATCCCAAGCCCCTGTAAAGGGTTGTGTCACACCATCATAGCCTGCACATACAATTAGATAACTGTTATATAACTTCTCTATTATTACACATAATTTTCCTACTATATATCATATAATGTCACTATTATTTATTAATTATGGCTTGTTATTTTCTTATTTCTCCTAGAGCAAACAACTTATAAATCAAGGGCAGGCTCATCAACATGAAAGTGTTTCTTATCAAACAACTTATTCTAGCACACTCAAACAAAGAGAACAAAGTATTTTAATATGCCAATGCCTCACACATGTAAGACAATTTTAGCTTCCAGACATCGGTTAGCATCAAGCAGTATCAAAATGGATATTATTTAACAAAACAGTTAGTGAAGACAATCTATATGATAAAAACTTCCATTCATCTGTAACAAAGGCAGGTTGCATACATTAACATGATAGTGTTTCTTATAAAACAACTTATTCTAGCACACTCAAACAAAGAGATCATTCTTTCCACCTTGGTTTACAGTACCAATTTTCCAAATATCATTTTTACATGTACTACCACATGGTTGAGCCAGGCAAGTTAAGAAATGCCATGTAACCTTATAGCTGACAACAAGGTAAGACCAAGTTAACTGTCATGTCAATTCCAACTACATACAATTTTTTCTTTTAAATTTTCCAGTTCATTCGATAAAATCCAAATGATTCTGACCATAGGACAGTGATGTTGAAATTCTAAGATGAAGCTACAAAACAAAGAAAACAAGACAATGTCCCAGAACCATGTATTTGTCGGGTAACATTTCTAAGTACAAAATACAAAATCTCAGAACCTCAATCCGTAAAAAAACTGTGTTAGACAAATTCTCAATTACTCCCTAGTCCCACTTACAGAATCTCGCAGAGCATTCAATCAAACAACAGAGATCAACCCCGAATTGTCCAAAATCCAAATGCCATAATAATTCATAATGACAAAAAAAAAGACACACATTCAACAAGACTAGAGAACACAATGACGAAAAAAACAAAAATTACCACAGAAAAATTGAACCACAAGTAAAACCAACAAACTCAAATATCTCAAAACAAATTAGCAAAATATGAAAAGACTTTGGATTGTAATTGTACCTTCGCCTTGGAAATGATTTTAACAGCAACAGGTTTTCTTATAAAAGATGGGTGCTTGAGGATGGGGGTTGTGAGTTGGAAAATGTCTAAGGCTGTAAGAAGTGGTAGAAAGTTAGGGGTGCTTCTTTATTTGGGCATAAAGGAGATCAGGAACGGACTGTAGATTTTCAAGAGGCTCCCAAGTGTTGGCAGTCTCAGGCCATCCACGCCTGCCAAACATAGCAAAATGCCCCTTCAAAACTTCATTATTCACACTTATCATGTTACCATTTTTATTCAAACAAGTAAAGTAAAGTAAAAACTCACCATTTGATTAGGTACTGGAGCTGACCCTATTATATCCATTGAATCGCAACCAATTTGCAGCATTCAATGTCACAAGTCAAAAGCAAAACATAATAGAAATTTATAAAGTAAAATAAAATTAAAAAAGTAATAATTATCAGTTGGTTTGGTACCTTGCGTAGCCTCTTATGGCATATGGTTTCGATTTCATAGAAGTCATCCTCGAGGTTGGTAATTATAAAATATTGGTTTCAATTTCATAGAAGTCATCACAGAGAGTAGTAATTATAAAATATTGTCAAGCATATAAGCGTTTTAGTTAACATTAACGAAGTTTAATGAATGATAACCAATTGAAACAAAAAAACAAGAAAAAAATTAATACCAACCTAAAGGATGTAGTACTTAACTTTCCAAATTGTAATATTGTAACAATGAAACCATAATAAGAAATTAGCTCCCGTAGTACCAATGCTGCATAAACAACACAAAAAAAAAGCATTACCATGTATCGTGTTTATAGATTGACACAGGCACACGGGAGTTTGAGATATGGTGTTCATGAACTTCTGTCTTCGGATTAGAGATCGTGAGGTTTTGGAATGGGATTCGAGGTCGTTGGGTTAGGATTTTAGTTCGTCAAGGGTTCTAGTTCGACCTCTCTTGGGTTGGGGTTTGAGTTCGTCGGGGTTTGGGGTGGGGGTTCAAGATCGTTGGGCTCGGGTTAGGGTTGAGTTGCTTTAGGTCTGCTATGACGAGGGTTTAGGTTAGGGTTAGGGTTGGGGTTCCATGTCGTCGGTGCTGGGTTTGAGCCTCAACTTCGCCAATATTGAGGTTGCGGTCGCAGTTCAACGTCACTTGGGTTTCGGTTGGGTTCGAGGTAACTGAGGAATGGGTTGACGTTCAAGTTCACATGGTTTTGGGTTGGGTTTTAGGTCATCGGAGTTGGCTTTTCAGGTGGCTGAGGATGGGTGTTCAGGTGGTTGGAGTTGACAGGTCATGGTTCAATGGTCGGAGTTGGGCGAAATTGGGAGCGGAGCGGAAGTTCAGAGGCAATGTCCATGGTCAGCAATAAGGCCACAGTCAGCAATAAGGTCCCCCTCAAATTTGTGAGCGCGAAGATAAAATTTGGGAAGATAAGAATTAAGAAAATATAATTTGATATTAATTAAAATAATTAAAAAAATAAAATAAATAAGAGAGTAACTGAAATAGTAACTGATTTACTGTAACTAAAAATTTGGTTACTGTATCAGTTACTAAACTGAAAAATAATAATTCGGTTACAAATTCAGTTACTGATAGTGACTAAATTTTTCAGTGACTGATTTCGTTACTATTTAACAATTTTGTAGTAGTGTGAAGAGATTAAAAGATATTGAAGATTTGATGAAGTCAAAGGATCTTTGGGTTAATGGGTATAGTGATTAGTGAGTCTGCATCAATATTAATAGGTATAATCATTCATACTATTTGTTGCATGAGGTTTCATCATTTGAAAGAATTAAAAATACCTCCAACTGTTTTAATATGTTAAAAACATGTTTAATCGATTAATATGTTCTTAAGACTTGAAATTAACCAATACACTTTAAGCTTAATCGATTAAAATCAGCTAGAAATGTTTCTGACAAAGTTTTAACTTATGTATTTTTGAAATAATAGATTAAAACCACTTAAAACATATACTAACACTATTTTAATCGATGCACATTCGAATTAATCGATTATTTTCATTAAAGAAGTATTTGAAAACCTTTTGTCAACATTTTAATTGACGTAACTTCAAAATAATCGATTAAAATCATTTGAGAAGTTTTGAAAAGTGTTCTGTCAGTATTTTAATCGATGTAACTTCGAAATAATCGATTAAAATCACTTACGATGTTTTGAAAAATATTTTGTCAGTATTTTAATCGATGTAACTTCGAATTAATCGATTAAAATCACTTAAGATATTTTGAAAAGTGTTCTACCAGAATTTTAATCGATGTAACATCGAATTAATCGATTAAATCAACTTAGAGAAATTTTTGTTAAATGTTTTAATCGATTAAATCATGCTTTTATAAGTTAAAATCACTTGTGGAGTTTTGAGAATTTATATGGCAGTATTATAATCGATTAAACCGTGAATCAATCAATTAAAATAACTTAGATAATTTTTGTATAACTGTTTTAATCGATTAAATCGTGTTTGCATCAGTTAAAATAAATCTGAAAAATAGTCAAGCACATTTTAACCGATTAAAAGAAGTTTTAACCGATTAATTAAACCAGTTAGTTAGAATAAGTCTCTATATAAACATATTTACTTCAACGTTTTAAAACACAACCTTTGAGATATCAATCAAGCAATCAATAGAGATCTTTTCAAGGAAGAAGTGCACTAGTTTTTGTGAAGTTTTTCAGAGTTCTTTCTTGAGGCATTTTTGCATTCTTGCATGTGAAGAAACTCATTTTGCAGAGGAAGAATTGCATCTGCATAACCGGGTTTGGTTGTTCTAGTTTCTTCTTTTAGTTTTTGTCAATTCATATATGTATTGTGTGGGTGTTTGGAAGATTTTGGCACTGGTTCTGCAATTGGAATTTGGTTGCAGGTTGGTTCAAGAACTGGAACTTGGTTCTTGGTGAAGGTTTGATTCCAGAACTGGAAATTGGTTCTTAGTATAGGTTAGGTGTTTTGTGATTTGGGTTTGTAATCAGAAACATAATCAATCTAGTGGAATTCAACTGGAATTTGGTTGAGAATTGGATGTAGCCTTGTGGTGTGGGTGAACCAGTATAAATCTTGTGTTTCTTTCTCTTTCCCTTTACACTCCTTAATTCTGCTTGTGCCTTATACAAAACTGTTTGATTTTCTTGGATCAATATTTGATCAGAATTCTTAATCTTTGAAATAGATAATTTGTATCCATAAAGTGCGAAAAAGTTTCAAAAGATCAATTCACCCCCCCTCTTGATCTCAGCCTACATTTCTAACACCATTATCTTCTTCAATGAGCATTGTTCCCCAGTATTCATCACTGGCATCAGTTTGCAGTACTTGCTTTTTGTTGCCTGGAATTTTCAGAGCTAGAGGAGTCTGGGCTATCTTCTTCAGTTCTTTAATGGCTTTGGTCTGCTCTGATCCCCATGGAGGTGGATTCTGTTTTAAGAGCTTGAATAAGGGACTTGTGTACTTGGCAACATTAGGGATGAACTCCCTAATGTAGTTAACTATTCCGAGAAATTGTTGGATCTGATTGATGGTCAGATTCTCATCCGAGAAATTAAGAAGTTCCTCTACAATGTGAGGTTGATAAGTGTCGTGACAAAAGTGCATTCCCAAAAAGTTGATTTCTTCTTGGGCCAAGTGGATCTTCTTCTCTGAGAGCATAATCCCATGTTGATTTGGATTTATATTTGGATCTGGATTCAAATTCAGATTTGCTCCTTCTTCCGCCATATCTTCTATAATTGGGTCTGGTAAATCAAGTGTGGAAAAAGAGTTAGCAGATTCTCTTGTGGCTTGTTCTTGAGTTTCCCTTCTTCTTCTACCTTGGTTCCTCCAAGCTGTTTTTTCAATCTCTGGATTAAATTCTAACTCGCTCGAAGATACCTGTCCTCTTAAACGCATAAATCAAAAGAGTAACTCAAGCAAATATTAGCACAAACTAAAAACTAAATAATAATAATAATAATAATAATAATGATAATGATAATGATAATGATAATAATAATAATAATAATAATGATAATGATAATAATGATAATGATAATAATGATAATGATAATAATGATAATAATAATAATAATAATAATGATAATAATAAAATAATAATAATGATAATAATGATAATGATAATAATGATAATAATAATAATGATGATAATAATGATAATGATAATAATGATAATAATAATAATAATAATAATAATAATAATAATAATAATAATAATAATAAAAATAGAAATAAAAATAAAATACTCAATAAGCTAAACAAATAATTCTCAAAGAACACTGTTCCCCGGCAACGGCGCCAGAAATACTTGTTGAATTATTGGCAAGCGTACCAAAATTATCAATCGCAGTATAGTATTTCGATAAAATAAAAGTCGATCCCACGAGGAACAGTTTCAATGAAAATTTCCAATTATGCTTACTAAGTATATTAAACAGATTGGGTTTTGCAAATAAAAGTTGAGTTGAATTTAAATGACAAAGAACTGTAAATTATTGAGAAATATCAATTAAAGGTACTTAGGATTGGCTTCCTTCCTTATCCCTCTTTTGTAATGGCTAAATCAATTAAGAACGTCAATTAACCTAACAATGTTCATGCCACCTACTCAAATCATCCATGTTGATTCCTCACACATGAAATTCATAAGAAAACCTAATAAATGTTGATTCCTCACACAATTAACAGATTTTCCAGTATTAGGGTTAAGGTGTTAAGCAATTGATACATTCATTCCATTCCTGGCAATTAACATAACAAGTATTCTTACTGTGATTTAGGTTTTAAGATATATTTTCCAATCATACCTCAAACAATCAAGAATAAATCATTCCAAAGCATAAAGGATAAGAATAACAACATCAAAGCATAGATTAAGATCTCAAAATATCACCATGATACAAAAGAGTTCAAAGGAAGTGCACCGAATCCTAAGAGAATGAAGTTAGCCACTCATGTTGGTCATTACAATGCTTTAATTGATGAAGAAGTGAAGAATTGATGAAGATTAGACAAAACCATAACAGTAGTCGTGCCTCCTCTCCTCCAAGACTGTTTGCTTTTCTCAAAACACAACTTATCTTTTTATAAGAGAATTTGGGTCGGGCCTCGCATCATTCATTCGCTTAAGCACTCTTCTTTCTTTCAATTTTACTCCAATTATGCTGACAATTATGCTCCTTAATTTTGTATCAAGGTATTCTCGAATTCATCCTATATTTGGAGAAAAATATATTAGAATTAACATAAGTTAAGTGGTTTCATAACAATTCAAGGCATAATTATATCAACTTTTTACCACTTAACAACTCCCCCCAACCTAGAATCTTGCTTGTCCCAAGCAAAGTAGTTTTTCCAAAACAAAATCATCACCTATTATCTCTTTCTCTTCTAGAACCACAACATAAAATTTTTCAGGGGTGATGCTCACAACTCCAAATGAAAATAGAACACATAAGCATTCAAGTTATAGAAACCAACAAAGAATAATATTAGTCCTCAACTATCCTCAGAGAAGCATGATCTCTCAAATAGAGTTATATATACTCATCTCTAATTCTCACAGGTAAGTGTTTATCTCATTCAATCACTTCATTTAGACAATCCAATATTGATAATCATCTTCAAGCAATCAACAATTGTTAAACAAGACTTAAATCAAAAGGTCTTTTGAGGCTTGTAATGGGGCTGGGCTAAGAAAGAATTATTGGTTTTTCTGTGATATACAAAAATATTTGAGAAATTCAACTCATATGAATGATTCTTGAGTAACAATTCCTCAAGTCAGGTTTCAAACTTCATGCTTTTGTCCCTAACACAATGACAATGAGTTAATAATCTCACAAATTATTACCCCCCTTTTGACTTCTTCTTTTTTTTTTTTTGCTTTTGCATGTATCCTTTTTTTGGCTTTGCAAATTTTTAAGCTTTGTTTTTCCTTTTTCTTTACACTTTTTTTTTAACAATAACACCCCAACAATACCTGTAGGACAACAATAGCAATACCCAACAATAAGAAAAATAGTGACATTCATACTCATTTCCTTTCTCAAATATAGGAAGGTAGATAAATAGTGTTTAGGCTTAAGGGTTCTGTTTAAGAAACAATATTATTTTTGGCTCAGAAGGGGTTCAAATGGATGTCCTATAATTAATGCATGGTTGGCTATTTGGCTCTGGGTTATATATACTACAAAAAAAAATGTCTTTATCATTTTCAAGTCTTGCCAACATGTAATCACATCAAAGAATCAACCAATATCAGTTATCATCACAAAGTGTTGACACTCAATTTATCTGTTTTTGGTACTCTGCTCACCTGGGTTTTGGCTAGCTTCTCCAATTCAGTTAAT